CTTTCTAGCATTGGCTCAACAGATGCATCGATCAATGCTTCATGACAATTATTCCTATATGTTAGATTCTCTAACACGTCTTTCCATAGCTACTGTACACTTGCTCTTAATTGAGATTCTCTGCCATTTCATGCTATTCTCCAGCAGGAAAAAAAAAAAAAAAGAATATAGGCCTTCAGTAACTTCGGCTCTAGCTGTTGAAGCTTCCTATTTATACTATGATCCTTCTAAGTGCTGCATATGCCAGAAGTCTATAAGCAACAAACATGGCCCCTAAGGCTACAATGCTTACCGCAATGCTGACCTGACCCTCTATTTCAATTTCCCTGACGCCAGACGTTCCCAAGTAAGAACTCATCTCATCTCTATATTGAACACCAATGAGTAATCTAAAGCAATAGAAAGTAAAGGATGTGTACTTGAGCCATGCCATGCAATTTGGTACATCCTGTACGTAAAAACCTCCAGTTAGCAGGAAAGAAAGCATTGTAATGGTGACCAGAGTGGATGCCTGTTTCCCATCCATGATTGCAGCTCCCATAGCTAGACCAAGTCCTTGCGCCACGAGCACATAGAAGAGAAGCACAAGCAGTGTGAGCAAGAAAGCGTCAAGCTCGGGTCGAAGCCTCGCCATCCAGTAGATGATGATGGAAAATATGGCTGGGAGGATGAGCTCCATTGGGAGATCGCCGACCATTCGGGCTACGAAGTAGGAGGAGAGAGAGTACATTCCAGATGCACGCTCCTTGATGAAGATTGCCTGTTCTTGGGGGAAGGTGAAGACCGCATTGAAGGATGCAAAGACACCCCAGAATATGGAGATGAAGAAGAGCAGGCCAAGCCGGTCCCTGACATTTTTGATGCTTGAGTGCCACCACATGGAGCCTGCAAGGAATGCAGCTGCAATGACTTGGAGAATGCGAAGAGAATTGAAGGTCTCGTGCCGGCGCTCCTTGAGGCTGCGACATAGGAGGATGGAGAATTGGCTGAACCAACTGATTCTGGTGAAGTCTTTTGCTTCTTTTTGATTAATGGATCTTTCACTTCCTGGTTGGTGGACATAAAAAGATACATCGGTCCCAGCTATATATAATATGGCCCCTTTCTTTCTTTCTTCAAACTTTGAAAGATACTGAGCACATGAGAAATCATTACCTATTGTAGTGGCTTTAGCATATGCGATGGATGCGGTGATGGAAGCATTGATGGAGGCCTTTACCCGAGGAGCTAACATTCTGTCGTAGGAGGAGATGAGAGATTGCTTAACACTGATCTTCTCCTCTACATCTCCATGGCAATCCATCTTAGCGACTCCTGCATCAAACACTCAAAATTATTCAACTATGAAGATCCCCATTGTCAATTAATTTGATCAGCAATTCTTAAGTTGAACACATAGGAATTTTAACAAGAAATCAATTAGTATTGTCGAAGGTTGGCAAATTTTGGAAATGGTTACCATCAAGCTTTGCAAATTTATTTTTCTTATTTGGATGGAAAAAGAATTTGGCCGGCCTTATTATATGCCACATGTCATTAATATTATATAATCATACAATTATTCAGCATAAGTTACGCATTAAATTTGTCCAAAAAATTTCAATCATATATCTTAAAATTTTTACTACTGATCTTAGATGTATTGGGTATTTCATATTTTTATTAAATAAATATTTTAGGAACCAATTGATATTAAAGCCCCCAACCTTTTCTTTTTCTAGTTAGAGATTCCATAACAATCCCACATACTAGTAAGTATTGTTTTTCTCTTTCTTATTTTCCATTTAAATTTTATCCATCATCCAATATGAATATAATATTTTATTATTCTTTAAAATTGCACGCAAATCACTTTTTGAGTTTGAGAACCCCCATCACAGCTTCAACCTCCTTTGGAGATGGAGCTCGATGCTCTGTTCTACTTGCTGCTAAGGGAGCCTCTACTGTGGTAAACAATGAATGATCGATAATCAAAATCTCCTTATCTAAAAAAATTAAGAGAATTGCCATGAAAATGTTCTGCAGAACGGTCATCCTTGCACACAAGTTGGGTGCCCATCGAGTCAAAGCCGGGGCCTCAAACTTACTCAACGAGAGTCCCAACAAGTCGCTCGAAGCTAAGTAAACCCTTGGCTCGCTAGTAGATGACAATGCTCTACCCTCAAACATAACTCACTCATGATTTTGAAAGTACTTCTCCTTACCTTCATCTCAACCCATACTAGACTCGACCACTACAGAAGTAGACACAATCTCAACAGAAGCACCATTTTAGTAGCCGTACCATTGGCAGTTTGCTCAATGGTGGGGTCATCTCACTTACCTTACAGTCAAAGGGACATTGGAATAGAGATAACTACTTTCCCATGGCTCCCTCAAATTGGCGAAGCTTTAATCGCTTCCTTGGGCACAAGCGACACTAGTTCATTCTCCATTGGGCCAACAAACCCACTTGCTTCTACGGCCACCATATCTTTCTTAATCGTGGGAGAAGATGGCATCTTCACCTCATATTTTTCATGTTTGTGTTTGCACATGACAACCTTCTTTATGATCTTAAGGTTTGACTCACCCAACTTAGCAGGGTCAAAATCATCTATTCCAAGTGAGTTAGTCAAAATAATCAACGGAAGAAGAATATAATGTAGCAACATCGCACCCCTCAAGTTATGATTTATAGGTAATGATAGCGCGCTAGGTCAAATCAAGGTTATAATGAGGAATCTATATGATAGTCAATGCTACAAAAAATACAAAGCAATAATTTTTCCTTGCTCTCACTTTTTATAGTTTGGCGATAGCATTATATACTTGATTTTAATTCACTTGTCCTTTTGGTAACTCATGTTTAAAGGATCAAATGAATTAGGGAACTAAATGTATGCTCTTATATACCCATAGAGGCAATGCACAAGTATCTAGTAGGCCTTCAAAGGTAACCCGACACGAACAGTTGTATCTTTCAAGAGGAGCACTTGCCATGAGGGAAAAAAGTCAACCAACAAGTTAGTCAGCACCATATTGTAGAAAAATGTTCACTCTCACAACAAGGCCACCAATGGAATACTCAACTAAATTGTTCACACCGAAGAATCGTAACACTTAACAAATCCCCTAAGGAATACTAAGACATATTCAGAGAATTCACATCCATAGAATCTCCTACAACATGGAGACCCAAGGACTCATCACCTTTTACACTTGCCCATGAAGATTCACTCAAAGGAGTTGCCCTAAGACCAAGAGTCACATCCAATAAGAGCCATACATCTATGGACACTCTCCACTACCAGAGCCACTCGACAACTACCAACATCATCATCTTAGCTATATCGGCTATCGGCTATAGGAAACCCACACATCTTAAAAGCTGAAGTTATATTCTCTCACATTTGGACAGTCCTTCACTTGCATCCTTTATCCCACAAAGGAAACTCTCCCCTTTGCTTTTAAAGGTCAAAATCTTGCCTAAAATAAACTCACAATCATATTCAGAGAGTTTGAATCTATAGAATCGCCGACAACATGGAGAATTGAGGACTCACACTCTACACTCACTCATGAAGATTGACTAGAAGGAACTGCCATAAGACCAAGAGTCACATTGCAGATATCTACATGGAGGACAATTGGCTAGGCCACTTGTCCATGACAGCCTGTAATGAGCACATCATTTATTATATCTTATACTATTGTTTAATTCCTAGAGTGTAATTTGTTATAACCCTTAGAATCATAAAAGTTGAAGAGGCATACTCAAGATCTTTTAGCACTTTTTGAATCTCTTTAGTACTTTGATACTTAAGATTTTTTTTTTGTTCCATTTCTTTTTTCTCATTTGACTCGCAATATTCTCACACTTCATACTTACCTAAACGGCTAAACCCCACTCGGCCGCCTCAGCTTTTACTTCAAAATTACTTGCTAGTAAGTTCGGATGTCATTCATGAATAATTTCCAATTCAACATAAAAGTTGTGTAGAAATATTATTTTATTTTGTAAATAAATAAGAATAATATAAGAGGGGAAAAATCACATAAACAAATAATAAAATTGAATTGAATGTCTTGAATACATTTGATTTAAAAAAATAGATAAAAATGAATCAAAATGAAGTACTTAAGTGAAGCAAAATATTTTATCTAATAAAAATTACGATTTGCTCTTGAATTTATTACCCATTAGACATATTTTGCAATCTTTAAGATATCTTAAATCAAAACCATCATTTTAAATCAAACCAAGTGATCAATTTAATCCTTAAATGTGTTTTTTTATGTGTTATCAGAAATAAAACCAAAACCAAACTAAATGATTTGATTCAATTTAAATTTGATTTTTTAGTATCAATTCAAGTCAATTTAATTCGAAATTATGATCAATTTAAAATTTAATCGAACCTGTACAGCCCTAGCTAACATCTGTACCTACACCCGAGTTGAGCTCCTTTTCCCTCGCAATCTTTTAATTTCATTATAAAATTATGCAACAAATTTCATCTGTTTCATATTATTATAATTATTCATCAAATAAGTGAAAGAATATGGATGATTAAATGATGCTTAGATGCCAACTTAAATGAAAGTCTTGCATATATATATATATATATATCAGCAACAAAAATAATTAAAAACACTTTTGTTATAATAAATAGCTCATATATTTAATTCAAAAATAATTTATTATGTAATTTATAATATATATAAAGTTATTTTTTTTATATGCATGTCCGCAACACCTGCTTGTATTGGAGTTTTGGTAATCATCCGTTTAGAAGGGTAAAACGGGTATTTGGCAAGCCCTCATCTGTCACTGCACGATTGGTGCAGGGCGTCCTGTACATCAACCGTACAGTAATTCTCTTCCGCTTTCCGCAGATTTTCTTCAGAAAATAATACGGTCCCCAAAAAACGGATTGCAGAAAATAATGAGAAGAAAATAAAATGAATAATAATTTCTCATCTGATTGTTTTGCAAGAAAAAAGTACCAAGGTACAAAATACATAAAACAAAATTAAATAATTGAACACAACTCTCTTTGGCCTATTGGTTGAGAGCTTAGACTTCCAACTAAGAGGTTCAAGATTCGAGTCTATGTATATGCGTTGTGTGTGTGAATTTGTCTTAAATGATCTAAATGTCCCAAAAAAAAATTAAATAATTGAATTATTATTAAATTAAAGTTATATATAATACCTTAAATTATATTGATTTCAACCTTATTCTGAATTTTATATAGAATATATTAATAAAACAAAAAAAAAAAATCAAAAGATATTTTTAGACAAAACGGCGATAAAAAAGAAGTTTAATAAGGAATCGAAAAAATCCAAGAAAAAAGAAGCGAGTGTAGCGAGTAGCGACTCACCGTTGGCAAGATCAAGCATGAAGTCCGCCGGATTAACGTGCATCGCCGGCGCAAATCCTATCGAACCGAAGTACTCTACAGCATCGCGAGCCCTCCCAAAATACAAACACCTCCCCTCCGCCAAGAGAAGCAAAGCGTCGAACATCTGGTATGCACGACTCGATGGCTGGTGCACGGACGCCACCACGGCCCTCCCCTTCCTCGCCATCCCTACCAGTAGCTCCACCATCCTCCCCGCCGCTGTCGCATCAAGGCCCGATGTCGGTTCATCAACCACCACAACACTTGGGTTCAACAGCATCTCGTGCCCAATAGAAACCCTCTTCCTCTCGCCGCCAGAAACACCCCTAACGAACGCTCCCCCTATCGCCGTCTCCGTGCAATCAGTCAACCCTAGCTCCCCAATGACCGCTTCCACGGATGCCCTAACCCTATCCCTTCGTTCAGTTTCTCCCGATCGTGGAAGCCGTAGCATCGCGCAATAGGTGAGAGTTTCGCGGACGGTGAGATGGGGATAGAGGACGTCGTCTTGTGGAACGAAACCGATTCGCCGAAAGATAGAGCGGGAGGCGGGACGGCCGTTGGCGAGGACGGAGCCGCCGTGGCGGCCAGGAAGACGGCCCGCGAGGATGGTTAGAAGAGTAGATTTTCCGCTGCCAGAGGGGCCCAGGACGGCAAGAAGCTGACCGGAAGCGACCTGACCGGTGATTCCGTCGAGGATTGTTCTCTCCTCTGGCATTTGTGGGGTTCCTCTGGCGAGGCCTCCGCAAGTGTTCTTTCCGGTTAGCTTTACCCGGTAGGAGAGGTCGATGAACTGGAGAGAGATGGGAGTGGAGAGAGGGGAGAGAAGGAGGCCCGGGGTTGGGGTTTGGGGCTTGAGTGGTAATTCTTTACTGGACATTTTTGCTTAGTTCTTTGGAAGAGGGAGGGTGGAGTGTGGGTACGAGACGAATGGATTTTGAGAGGCTATTTAAAGAAGAAGAAGAAGAAGAGAGAGAGATTTTAAAATAATAATAATAATAATAATAATAAAGAGAGAGAAAGATTGTGGACTGAAAAGAACAGCGGAACCTGCAGTAAGTAAGTAGAGTGTCCGATCCGACCCGAAACCGAACCTAAAAATTCAGGTTCAGACTAACTTGTTTAGTATATAGATCAAATTTGGGTCAGATTTTGTTGACGTCGTATTCAGATTGGCTTCGAAGTTCGAACCCTTTTTTTTTTATCAAAAATAACTTATAATCATAACATAAAAATAAAGTATAAGTAATTATTTAGTACATATATTTATCTAATATTAATTTTTTAAAAAATTATTTGGCCTAGGAAGAAATCATTTATTTGTTGCAAGCTAGAATATTTGCGGTAATAGAGTTAGATTTTCTTTTCTTAGCATTGTACACATATCCAGCACCCAAATAAAGGAAAAAAAAATAGCATAGTTTTTACGTGGAAAACCCTGAAAAAGGGAGAAACCATGGGGCCGCGATCATTTGAAATGATTCAACTAGTGTTTGAATATATTACAAATGTTTGATTTATTCTTGAAACTGAGGACGATCATATTACAATAGTCAACTATCGGATTGAAAATTTAGTGTCGAACGGAGATCTAATATAAGTCTAATGACATTTGTTGGTCAGGAAAAAAATCTGGCGTCAATTGACGGTCGGACGGAATTTCGACGTCAATCAGTGGTCGGGCAGAAATTTGATGTTGGTTGACAGTCAATCAGAAGTCGATCTGACATCAGTTGACAGCTAGGCGGAAGTTCGATGTTAGTCGGGGCTGTGCATAAGTCCGGCAATAGTCGGTGGCCAGGTGGAAGTCCAGCGTTGGTCGAGGAGGAGTCTAGTGACAAGAGAGCTCTTTTCATTCTCTTCATTCTCTTACTTGCTTGGGTCCCTTTCCATGAAAAATGAGGGGTTTATTTATAGATTTCTGAGAGTGATATGACCAGCAAATAGGAGGGAGATTATGGGTAAATTATGAGTTGTTTGAATGAACGGCTGATGTTGATTCCCTTAATCATGGATTGTTTATTGGGCATTTGAATGTCTTAATGATATCATAATTTAGTGATCTTGGGCTTGTTGGGATTTTTTTCGTCGAGCCACTCAATATGACTGTAAACACATCATGTTTGGAAATCATTTGGTCATCCAATTTATGGTTAATTTGAACTTTTCAAATGCGCTTCAGACTATCGATTTGGATCCATTTGGGATCGGATTGAGTCAAATTTGGTGTCGTTGGGTTCGTTTTTCTGAGACGTTCAGTTTAACTGTAAGTTTGCTGAAATCAGAATTCTTACGGGTCTAGATTTAATTTTAGAAATTTTTAACTTAATTTTGCTTTGAGATTCATGGCCGTCAAGATAAATTTTTTGATGACATACCAATTGTATTATAATTTCTAGCTTTATTGTAAAATCTCATACCTTCTCTCTTTAAGCTTTCTTTTTCAACCTTTTTTTCTCTGATTATTTGGTCAGGGAGAAAAAATCATTAGTTTTAGTCATTATCTTTGACTTTCATTATAAAAATATTTAAGATAATATTTACGTAACATGACAGTAAGAGATGAACATAAGAAATTAAAATATATTACAATATTTTTTATTTATATTCATATAAAAAATTACTTTACTATTTTACAATATTTTTTATTTATATTCATATAAAAAATTACTTTAATATTATTTATATTACATAAATAGATGGAGTTATTTATATTATTTTTAGACCTGATAATATTCAGATTATTGAATTTAATTAAGTTCTGTCGATATCTTTGCATGCCTTATTATATATGGTCAATCATACCATATTATGAATCTTATAATATGATATAGATTGTGCAATACCATATTGTCATTATACTTTTGTATAGAATGTACATTATTGTTAGGATTGTATAGTCATAGGCATTATAGGAAAAAATGCCTTTGGCAGCATTTAAAATAGGCTCTCGTGGCTATTTTAACCGTCACAAAAATAGTATGTAGCGATTTCAAAACCACTGCATATTCGTTGTATTTTATTTCCACCGCAAAGGCAATGCACAACGGTAGGGGTGTCAATTTCGGGTCACAGGATGGGTTCGGGTCGAACCCAAAACTGACTCGGTACTATTCGGGTCAACCCGAACCCGACCTGCTTCGGATCTGGGTCAACCCGACCCGACCCGAATGACCCAATTCGGACAAAAAACTGCTAGTTTTCAGGTCCAAAAACGGGTCAAACTCTGCTTTTCGGGTAAAAAATAGGTCAATCTCGGGTTCCCGGGTAAAAAACGGTTCATTTTCGGGTTGAAAGGTCAACTCGAACCCGACCCGATTTTTGAAACGGGTCGAATTATTGAACCCGACCCGTTTCGGGTTCGGGTCAACCCAAACCCGAAATTTTTGGGTCGGGTCCAATATATGTAGCTTTTAAAACAGGCAGGATACACAGCAGTAGATTTCACGGCAGTTAAAATCGTCACTATAATAAGAATACTAGCGGTTAAAACCGCCACTAATTCAAGCTCCAAAATAGTGGTGATTAAAACCCCACTATTTTCCTAGGCTTTTTTTTATAAATAATTTTGCTGTAGGCAGGAGCTGCTGCAAGAAACTCCAAGCCATTCAGTTTCAAAGAAGAAATAAGCACAACACACTATTATAAGTTTGATTTATGATACAGATCTTTGCAACTGTCATATATTTAGGACTTCTTACTTGTATCTCATGGTGAAAAGGATTTCCATAAGAAAGAAAAAAAGTACTATACCCCTTCAATGCAATTTCATTTTTCCATTTTCATAGCGAGAGATTGCGAGATGCATCAACAAACATAAAAAATAGAATCGAGATCGAGACAACTGAACTTTTAAGCAATTAATAAGGAGATTCTGCACAATTTAGTTTGCAAGTAAGAAACTTACCACTTTTTCCATTACATATATAGATAGATAGATACAAAGAGAGAAAAAAGATAGAGAGAGAGAGGGTGTTAGTGTACATAAATGCATTAGGGATCTTCTAACATTGTATTAAGCATAGAACTTGAGAACTATTAAAAACTACTTACCTCTGATATGAATTGCATTGATAGGATACCTTCATAGAAATTACAGAGAAAACAAGAGGATCAATAGTTCCTTCTAACCAACAAAACCAAGAATCACATTGTCACAACCAGCAGACTTTGGTTTTGTTTGGGACGGTTTTCTTATTGCTTATTAAAGCAGCTTTTTAGTACAAGAATTAGAATTTTTGCACTAAAAAGCTGCTTTAAGAAGTAGAAAGAAAACCGTCTCAAACGAAGCCTTTATAAGCAGACCTAATAGAAGATGATCCATGAGGTTTTAGCATCTTCATTTCTCATTGTTTTAACTGCTCTGCTCTCACAAATTGTCCAACCCAAGCAGCCAAAACAAAAGATTTAGAAAAATTGGGTACATAGTTATAAGATCCACAAGCTACTGCAAAGAAAAGCAAGCTTAAGAAGATTTTGGTATTAAAAAAAAATATAAGGTTTTGCAAGACCTTTAAATAAAAATATAGAAAGAAGTGAGAAAATACACTAGAAATGGAAAAACAACAAAGTTAAATGTTTGTATTTGATGTATATTAGGTGTCAATCATTGTCAAACATCAATAGGTGGTCAGTGTTCTACCATTTGTTGTTTGTATAGGAGGGAAACTTGATGAAGAAGAAGGTAGCTTCAAAATTTGATGTCTAACCAACATATTACATTATTAAGTGTTAGGTAATTATCAAATATGAAAGTTGGTTTTCTAGTAATGATCAATAGTATGCTCATTCATTATCCTTATTGAAGAGGGGAAAAAAATTAGGAAGATGGGTATTAGATATTTGTGTCTAACAAATATCAGGCATTAGCACTGGTCGAAAATTGGTGTTTACATTGTCAATAGGTGCTTGCTTTAGGTGAGGAAAAGTTTCAATGTTTGGTGATGTGAAATTCCTTAAGTAAAAAGAAGCTAATCTCTTAAACGTTGATGTGTCTTTGGATATAATGGCTAGAATTTCATTTAGAAATTTTTTAGATGATTAGAGAGAGACATCTTAGATGGTTTGGTCACATAAAATGAAGGTCATTCGATGACTCGATTTGAACAGTGGATGTATTAGATTTAGCTTATGTTAAAAAAGGTAGAGGTAAACCTAAAAAGGCTTGGTTAGAAAATATTAAAAATGGCTTTATTTATTAGTTTTAAATGACAATTTGATTTTTAACATGACAGAATGAAGAAAAAAAAGATTCATGTAGCCGATCGCACGTTGTGGGATAAAGGCTGGATGTAGGGGTGCAAATGAGTCAAGTCAATTTGTGAGCCAGTTTGAGTTTGCAAGTTGAGCTTATCGAGTTTTGAGCTTAAGCTAGAGCAAAATTTCGAGCTCGTTGGATTATTGAGATCGAGTTCAATCTACATGATACTTGGCTCGATTACTTTCGAATTGGTTTAGAAGGAGGAAGGCGAACCGGCGAAGAGAGGAAGGCGAATAGGGGAAGCACATACAAACTAGCGAACTATGGTAGGATTGCTGGTGAAGCGCGTGAGAACCTTGGAAGGCAAGCTGGCCACTGCGCATGTGAACTGCTTCCATGAATTGTTATATGTGCTCTGGAGCCACAGAATTGAGCTGCTCGACGAGCTCACTTTTAGTGGATCGAGTTGGACTAGAACTTGCCTTTTGAGCTCGACTCGAGTTCGATCTTGGGATTTGACTCACGAGTCAAGCTCGAATTAGGTCTGATTCGAACTCGATTAGACTCGTTTGCACTCCTAGCTTGATGTTTTATTGTTGTTGTTATACTAATTAAAAAAAAGAAAAAAGAATGGCATTATAATTGAGACTGGTGGTTGGGGGTTGAAATTTGTGGCTGTCGACTGAATTATCACTTCGTCAACTTTGATTTGAACCGATTGGCTATGATGA